ATTTAGTAAATCACAATCACGCAACACAAGTAAGAGATTAAAGGAAAAAGTAGAAAATGAAACAAGAATGTATAGTGGTTCTTCCCAACAGTTTATGAGTTACGTTCAGTCTTCCGCTTTGATACGGATTCCACTAATAAATCAAGATTTGATACAAATCACTCAAATATCTCACCTTGCTATTCACCCTCTAGAGGTCCCAACAAAAACATCCTCGCTTCTAAGTATTTAATACAGTATACTAAGGTACAAGAATGAAAAACACTCACTAAACCCACGGGATACAGAATCCTTTTCACACATTGCACACAACCACTAAAGTCTCTTTATTTGTATTCTGTACAAATAAAACCTTAACAAAAGGGCTCTATTTATGGGAAGCCAAATATTCTAATTGTTGGCTTTTCGAGCTTCAATCATATCATATGTTTTGACGATAACAAACTTAATCTACTATTGATTTTAGTGTTTCAGAGTGTCCATAGCGTAGAGCATAATAATACAAATCCAATGCAATTTAAATGGCTCAAATTGGAGTTTAAATGAACAAGTTACGATCAAAACAAGTCGAACAGAAAATACGTGACAGGATGATATGGACGAATTTTATGTTGACACATGCCGAGTTATATTGTTGAAAAAAACAAAGAAAGAAAGGAGAAAAACGAAAAAGAAAGAAAGATAGAAAGGAAAGAAAATGAAAGTGAAAAGAAAAAAAAAGATTACTGTTTGAAAAAAAAATCAAAGTAACCATTGCACACATATATATTATTTTATTTTATAATATATTATATTATAATATAATGTAATTATTTCTTTTTAGAATTTAATCTCCACCTTCATCTTCCATCATTATCATCCAAGGCTCAATTTGATTTTAATTTCAAATAAAATTTTCACCACTTTCCTCTCCTATTTAAATCCCTCTCCTCTCCCATTTTACAAAACCAATTTTTCTTATTTTAAAATCYTCTACAATGGATTATTTCTCTCTCCAAACTATCAATTCTACTCCCATTTTTATTATTGTGAGATATTTTCTTGTTGTGAGAATTGATGTATTTGTGAGTTTAAACATGTAAATCTACTCTATTTGAGAGTTTTTAGTGTGTGAAAAATTCTTATTTCCACACTTAATTGGGTTTCGTTCTTGAGCTCGGTAAAAGAACAGAGTGTGGGTTTCGATCTTTGTCTCGAGAAAAAAGTTGGGTTTAGTTCTTGATCCCATAAAAAGAGTGATTTGTAAGATTTGGTCTTGATGTTGTAAAAGGACCAGGTTTCCGATCTTGAACTTGTAACATGATCGTGCTTAGTGGAAAATCTCGGGAGGTGCTCGGAGAGTGGAGTAGGCCAGAGTTTGTCGAACCACTATAAATCTCTTGCGTGACGTTTTCTCTATCCCTTACTATTATAATCCTTATAAGAAAAGAATATCCTACTCCTTGTAGGAATCTGTAGTAGTGTTGAAAATCATTTTCTTCATAGGACATGAGTTTCATGTTTTGGCTCCATTATCCCAACAATCTCCCACTTGGAGATGAAACATCGATCTTGCCTCCCACTGCACAAACAGTATCTCATCATCTTGGCAACCCCGCCAAAGCTCAGTTCTGCTACACCAACAGTAACTGATCAACAACTACTCAGCCCTAACCAAGCTTCTTGTATGATTGCTCCGAGACATAGCCACGTGCTCCCACTTGATCTAGGTGGCCCTTGATGCTTCCTTCCTCGATCAAACCCAACGACCTACGAAGGTAGTCTCCCCTCTGATGACTTGGCACTTCCACCCAAGTTCGTTGCCACTCTAGAGATTTCTCCTTTGACCACAACACCAACTATAGTATGTTTCCTCAATGCACTCTTTTGCCTACGCGACTTCATCAACTCCAAACTGTCTGACAATTCGGGCTCGAAACTAACAACCTGTTGAACAACGACTCACTGAGTTGTTCCCATTTTCCTTTACTTCCTAGTTGTTGTACTTGAACTGATGGTAGAATTTCTTATTTTGTCTTGGTTGTCAATGTTGCTGATTCATTAAAGTTTTGCCCTGAATCATCTTCCATCCTTTGCATTCTCTGTCTCTTAAATCCCCTGACAACCTCAAATTTAGCACATAAACAAAAGCTTGTTTATGGCCCACTGCCACTACCTCGATCACCTCAGAAGTTTCTAGCTACCCTCTGCGAACTCACTTTTGTAACCATCTTCATCTATTTTTCCAACAGGTAGCAAATTCTTTCTTAAACTTGTAATATACTTGACAGCTCACAACACTAACTTTTTTCCCCATCGGTCTTCAAACAGACATTCCCAATTCCTTTACCTTTGGAGACAATGTCATTTCCCATCGTTACCGTGTCATGCTGACTAGTGAAAGATGATAACCAGTTCTTGTTCGAAGATACATGTACGGATGTTGTAGTGTCCACAACCCACAATGATGGTCGATCTATTGAGTTGCTCCCAACACAAGCTAGAAACTCTTTTACTATTTCTACAACATTAGTAGAATCTCCATTTTGTTGATGCTGCTTAAGTTTCCTACAAAACCGCTTAATGTATCCCTTCTTGTGGTAGTAAAAACATTCTATATCCTTACTACTACTCTGATTCCTTTGGTTGCTATACTGCTGATTCCCTTGTAAATCATCTTCCCTTTGCCCCTACTTTGAACTATCAATGTTGATTCTAAACCGTTTCCCCTTCGGAAGTGGATGCAGAATTCTTCCCACTCTCCTTTCTACGAACCTTCTTAGCAATTGCAGCGTCACAGATATCTTAAAGTTTCAAACTCTTGTCTCCCAACGAATTCGACATAGTCGTCTTCATCGTCTTCCAACTGTTAAGCAATGAGGATAGAAGTTTTATAGCCTTCACCTCCTCTGAGAATGTGACTTCCATGGACTCCAACTTGTTCATCAGATCAATGACCTCATTTATGTGGGAGTTCACTAAGGTACCCTCCTCCATGTGGATGTTGAAGTATCTCGTAATGAGATACACCTTGCTGTTGGCAGAAGATTTTTCATACCTGTTAGTCAAAGCCTTCATCAGTCCCATTGTTGTTTTCTGGCTCGCCATGAGACTCGCCACATTCATCGTCAAACACAGCCTAGTGATTACTACCGCTTGTGCATCTATCTCTCCCACTCTTTATCTGACATCTTAGTGGCCCGTAGTTCTTTCAGGGTATTATGAATCTTCTTGTATGTAAGAAGTTCTGTAATCCGCATCTTCCAAAACCCAAAATTCTCCCCATCAAATCTCAACACCCTTCGAAGTAGTGATGTGACTTGTGACTGGATCCCATAGATACTACAACCTTACAGCTTTGATACCATTTGTTGAGAAATTAGCTTCTCCAAAACAATTTTCCCTTCTGCAATTATATCTAGTAAATCACAATCACACAACGAAAATAAGATATTAAATAGAAATATAGAAAACGACACAAGAATTTATACTAGTTCACCTCAACAGTTTATGGGCTACGTCTAGTCTTCCGCTTAGATGCGAGTTCCATTAATAAATCAAGATTTGATACAAAGCACTCAAATATCTCACCCTAGTATTCACCCTCTAGAAGTCCCAACAAAAGCCTCTAGCTTCTAAGTATTTAACGAAATATACTTAACAAATAAGGAATACAACAATTCCAAATTTGCCTCACTCTCGGACAATCAAGCAGCCTTTTGGAACACAAGGGACGTGAAGGTACCAAACCAATTCCTCTCTTTAACCAACAAGCTGCCACATAGTAGTTCCAAATACTAATGAAAAGAAGAACTGATGCGGGAAAAGAAAAAATAGAAGAGAATCAACACTCTTGTTTACAGTGGTTCAACATTTTGCCTACGTCCACTGTTGCAATTAGCAGCCTGTGATCTTATTCAAACTTCTTTTGTGGTACATCGTTAATCTCTCTATTTTCTAAGCTATTTGTATGGTACAAGAGTTAGATTTACAATAGATCTAACTTGTTAAATAATAAGTAAAATCAGTAAGTTATTACTTTTAACTAACTGCCTTCCTAAATTTGAAGTTTCCATTGTTTGTTCAACAATTTTATATCCCATGTGTCACCTCGTCTAGAGCAGAGTCCTGTGGAGAAAATGAACTCCTCGATATGTAACTTTGACTATCATTCATTACAGTTCACGTACTTTCAAAGCGTTCAATTTGATTTATGTACCACTAAAATCAGACAGTTTTGGACACTTTATTTTCAATTTTATCTCTCTTATTTTGATGCTAAATTTTTTAAAATGTAACTATAAATTTGTATTAAATGATTTTGAATGTAAATAAAAACTGCGTTAAATATTAGACGTATAAATCAAATTAATCACCTTTTAAAACTACAGGAACCAAACATAAAGTGATATATATATACACACAGCTCAGGTAAATTATTTACAATTTCTTCAATTTTATTTGAGAATGTCGATAACTTATTTATTTAATTTTAATTGAGAATGTTTATGATATATTTTTTTTCCTTCAGAAATAAGTATAATAATTTATTTTAATTGTCGAAGATGGAAGGGACTAAAAATAAGTAGAATTAGTTTTTTTGTTTCATACAAAACGTGGGTATAATTTCAAAATGTATTATTTACATGGCTGTGATTAGTTATAATCCCTATTAAAAAAAATGTGTACATAATATGTTTTTTTTTCCTTTTCTTTACATATAATAGCAGAAAAAAATGGAGGATTAGACGAAAATTTACTAGTTATGTCATATTGATTTTCTTAAAATTGTCATTTAATCTTTAAAATTATTTGTTAAGCCATATATTTCTTTCGTTTAGTTTTGTATTTATCTCAGGTTGTTATGAGCAATATTTGCGTCAATTTTCATCTTCTATTTTCAGAACTTCTAAATCATATTCTTCAAAGCATTGAAATGACACAAATAAAAATTATGGAAACAAAATATATATTTATATTTTTTTAATGAAAGACAACCCATTTATTGCCACATCCTCTTTATTACTTTTATTATGAAAATAACTAAAATTTATTTTTATTTCAACAATAAACAAAAATGCAAGTAAAAAGCACTCCCTTCGACAATAACCAAAGTTTCAAACCATGTTTAGACCCAGCTGATTTTATAGTTTCATTGGTTAAGCGATTTATCTCTGATCAAATAGCCGCGAGTTCAGAAAAATCTGATATCATATATTGGGTAGAGATTTCAGATATTTCCTTGGAGTACCCTTTCTCTTGCTTTTAATGCCTGCATGATCCATATAAATTACATAGGCATTAAAACAACAAAAACAAAAATTTTTGGGTACCAAACATTCCCGAAGAATATCAATTTGTATCCTAAACTTGGTAAATAATATCAATTTTTACCATAAATTTTCAATTATATCAAATTTGCATCAGTCTCGTTAACTCTGTGAATCAACTCTCTCTGCAGACATCAAAATTCCCCCATCTCTCTTTCACCCGTTCTCATGATTTCATTTTCACCAACTCTAACTCTGTATCCCACATTCAAATTCCTTACTCAAGCTATATATTGTTTATAACTAATCCACTCAAATAAACATTTCTCCACTAAATAAAAAAAAGAATTTAAAAATCCCCATACTATATCCTACATATGCACATTAGTAAGTGATATGGAAAAAAACTATCTAGATATTGACATTAAAAAAAGCTAAAAAATTAAAGGATATGCACCCATATAACACCAAGTAACATTCAATGAAAAAATTGTATAATTAAATATCTATCTGCCTATCTACGAGTAACTGCTAAAATCTTTTGAACTATATCAAAACGAGCATAGTTCAGCAGTAATTGACATATATGTCCAACCAAGAAGTTGTGAATTCGATCCCCACCTCATCCCACATGTTGTACTAAAAAAAACTGTTGAACTTTCTTTGCACTTTGGACCAATGGACCAACTCATGCATGATGGTTATTTTTAATAATTATATTGTTAAAATTAAATTTATATAATATGTTAAATTACTCGTTTAGTTCTAAACCTGTAAGTTATGTTTAACAGGTTTTTGAACTTTAAAAGTGTCTAAAAAGGTCGTGAGCTTTCACATGTTCAATTAAAAAAAAATTAACAAATCTATTACTCATAAAATTGAATTTTGTATCATTTAGGATCTAAACTTTCAATTTTGTATCTAATAGATAAGAGAATTTCAAAAAAATAGAAAATAGTTAAAATACTTATAAGACACAAAATTAGAAGTTGAGAGATCTATTAGGCACAGACGTGAAGCTATACAAAAACTGGTTATTTAACTCATATGATAATATCAATTATTATCCATACACAGTAAATAGTTAATGACGAGTATATACATGCATGTTTATTGAGTATAGTTACTCATTTTTTTAGTACAAACATGTGGGGTGAGGTTTCAAACTCACGATCACTTGATCGAAGATACAATTTAACTAGTTGAGCTATGTTTTTCCAAATCATTCATATTGTGACATATGAGTGAATGAATCATATGCAACTGGACAAATGTGTCTTGAAAGATCGTTAAAGAAAATGCAGACACACGACTAGGATAATCATATGCCTATTTGATCTTTGAGTAATGTTTGGGGAAGGGAATACCCTAGACACGTGGAGGACCCCTATTGGTGCTTCAAGATGGCTCATGAGTCATGCCCAACTCGGAYHGCCGAGMTGGCCGCCACYAACGYCGAMRAATGCTAAGTATGAGGGCCGAGGTGAACCTGGCCCAGGTCTGACCTACCAGGGAGCTCGATAGGGGCCGATGTGAGCAACTGTCTGCGGCGTGATTATCGGGCGTAACCGTCGGTCCCGAGATTATCGGGCGTAACCGTCGGTCCCGAGATTACCGAATGTAACCGTCGCGAGATTAGCGGGACTACCACCCATAAGTAGAGGACCTCACTCCCCGATCAGGTACGATGATTTCTGGCCTCGAACTAAACTGGGAATCCGACCTATACTGACTTGATCGTCGGAGTGCTCACCCTTTTGTGCAGGTCCGCCCAAGCATTCAGGTCGGCCCGGAGGCCGAGTTCGAACTGCAATCTGGAACACACTGTTGTGCATATCCTTGCATAAACAAGTGTGTTATGAAATCCTCTGCATCGGGTGTGTTATTTGGTTCACATTGTTAAGAATCTCACATTGAAAAGAAAATGGACCTTACAAGAGTTTATAATTGACATTGACTAGTCATCTCATTATCAAATGATTTTGAGATGGAACCCCATGAAATTGATACACATAAGTAAGGATGACCTGATACAGAGACAAATTGTCAACAAGATATAGAGACTCTCTCCCTTTCCTCCCTAGTAGCCATCAAAGGAAGAAGTTCTTCCTTTAGACTCCTAAAAGTGCCTACAAACGAGTTTGCTGAATATCGAGAATAGTTGGGTAGATCTATCGAGTCGAATCCAAAAAGCTAATTAAGATCTTCTAATGAAATAGTAACATGCATGACATGACATATAACTAAACTAACTAACTAATGAGAATTAAAGTTGATAAAATATTATAATTAGAAAAATAAAAATTATTAAACTAAAAAAACTATTTATATGAAGGAAAAAAAAAATCGCAAGAAGTAAGAGTGAGAGAAAAAGAACCTGTTTATTCCAATTGGTGAGAGTGGTGATGAGAGCAAAAAGAAAGCTTTGAAGAGTTGCTCCAAAAACCAAGCCAATCCATAGACCTTTGACTCTCCAATGCACTACGAAACCCAAAACAATTGCTATAGGAACCCCAACTATATAATAGGATCCTAAATTTACATATGCTCCCAATCGCTGCAATCCCGTGCCTCTTGCAATCCCTAAAATGAGCGAACATAAGCTTAGTTCAGGATAATTGGCATCTGTCTCTAGCCAAGAGATCATGAATTCAAATTTCTCACCCCATTTGTTGTACTGTAAAAAAAATCCTAAAATGCCCCCACACATGGATCTAAATTAAAATATTTGAATCTCGTATCTATTTAGCATCTCTAAACTTTATGCTCCCCTTTCATCCCTTGTATTAATATATTATTAAATGAAATGTTGATGTAGTATTGTCTACTAGAGATGTGTGTTACGTTTTAGGTGAAATTATCACACTACAACAAATCTTGCGACGATCAAAAAAATGTCACGGAAGAAATAATGACAGACAATAAAAAAAGCGCGCTTAAATTAAATAAAAGAAAAATAATGTCGGTCAGCTTTCAATTTGTTTCAAATAGTTTAAATTCTAGCTCCTGGGTGTGTTTAAAAGTCTAGGACCCTATAATTTTGTTAAGCTGCACAAATTGTCATAAATTGTTTTTTTTATCCACTAGACATTCAACCCTTTTGCCAAAACAAAGATAGCTCAGCGATAATTGACATATAACTCCAACCATGAAGTTGATATAACTCCAACCATGAAGTTGTGAGTTCGATCTCCTACTCCCACATGTAAACTCAACCATTTTTTCTTGTTTTTTACCCACCCTAAAACACTATAGAGTTAGCTAACATTATCATAGCCATGGAAATAGGAACACCACTTTATTACCAAGCATAAAATTGAAAATGTGTAATGCTATATCAAAAATTTGAGTATGACTTTTTTTTAGTACAACATGTGGTGTGGGGATCAAACTCACAACCTCTTAGTTAGAGATACATGTCAATTGCTGTTGAATTATGCTCGTTTTGACAAAACCGGAGTATGACATAAAAGATTAAGATATCATTGACTTAAGTCCCTATAGATATGAATAATTAAATCCCCACCCGCATACAACTCAAAATACTATATTATCAAGATAAAAAAAGGTCAGGTGAATATACAATAAGAACCAAATGGAATCGAAATCAAATTTTAGTTGAATTAAACCGGTGTGACAAACAAATACATCAATTCATTCTTAACATGTCATAATGTCAATGTTTTGTTCATGATACTAACAACAGAGCCAATTATATAAAAACAAGAATACCAAAAATTTATATGCCAAGACAAAAATTAAAATATAATATTGAATTTGAAGATATTGAGAGATGTACCTGAAAATATACCAAGGGAGGAATCGATGAGGATGGAAAGGCAAATCAAAGGCCACATCGAAGTAATGTGATTGGCAATTTGGGTGTCATTGGTGAAGGCATAGCCTAAGATATTGCGAAACCCAAAGAGAATCACACTCACAGTTATTGATTCTATGATGCCAAGAGCTCCCACTACCTTCACTGCCACTTTTGCTGCCTCTGGATTTCCAGCTCCTAGTTCATTTGACACCCTTGTGCTATATAACATCACAATTCAAATCATTGAATTGAATTTATATATATATATATATAGTTCTTTCATGTTAATTTATATTTTTCTCGAACTATTATGGAGAAACAAAATCAATTTTTATATCGTCTACTTGATTTACTGAGTAAATTGAACCTTAAGCTTTCAGTTTCATCAAATTCAATAATATTATTGGATAAATGGTGAAATTAATATCTTTAATTAGTCAAATCTTAATTGAAATAAATTATGGTCACTACGAACATTGTTGCAGGTGAACAAGATTATTTTGGTGTGTATTAGTTTTTCTAGTCATGTTTAATGTTTTATTAGCTAGGTTTGAATGTTTCCTTGTTTAGTTTAGACATTATTTGACTTGTTTGTATTTTGCCATCAAATTCAAATGTTTTGAGATGTAAGAGGTGTTATGGGTAAACCTACCAGTCATGCCTACGAGCCACACGAATCAACACTACAGATGCGGATTAACAGATCAAGTCTTGAGAAACTAAGCCCACCAAACAAGACCCCAAGGACAAAAGGTTATCGCCCACGGTGTGGTGCCACAGCCCAATCGACAAATCCATGGACTGGTGCAAGGCACAATATTAATTGTCCTAGGGTCGACCAGCACGTGGGAGCTGGTGTCGTGGCTTAGCGGGTCGGCCGAGCCCTTAAGTTGCTGGTGTTATGGTTTGGTTGGTTGGCCCAAGGTCGACTAGCCCATGAGTTGGCCCAAGCTGACCAACCCATAGACCAACCATGACCTAGTAAATTATCTCTAGGCCAAACACCACTTGTTTTCAAATGGGATCTAGTAAATTATCTCTAGGCCAAACACCATTTGGTTTCAACCATGACCTAGAGCATTCATCCCAATTCGATGATTCTCTTGTACATTTCCAAACCAATTCATCAGACTCAAGATCTTGGGATCTGAAGAATACGGAGCTGAGAAGATACCCAAATTACTTTAGGTTTTCCCTTTATAAATAGAGAGAGAAGACTCATAATCGAGGTACAGTACAAAATCATATCTCTTGCTCGCTTCATACAAACATAGTTCTAACCTAACCATCGAAGTATGTGTGACTAGCACCACACCGACATGTAATCTATCTCTTTTGTAGGTTTGGTTGAATCTCTTTAGTTTAGAAGAGTGGTGTGAATTTTGTAATTTCGCTAATCCAAATTTATGCATCAACATTTGGCGCCGTATATGGGAAACAATTGAAGTAATGCTCAAATCGAACCTACACATCAATCACAATTTGACATGAGTAAGAGCATTGGGTAGCCCTCAACAAATTTTGAAAGAAGGAAACGAGTTGGATCGTGATCAACATCCTAGGAGAGTAGCAACCTAAGGTCGGTCAGACAATTTAACACCCTTAAGTGCTTCTCCTAGTAGAATCAAGCCAAATGCAATGAAGAAAAGCGAAATTCACTGTCTTGGAAGAGAAGGTAGAAATGATGGATCATAACCTAGCTTTACTCCTGGACATTTTGATTCATCGGAATGATGGATTCCAAGCTAACCTTGAGTTGAGCGATACTATCAACCACTTGTTTGTGATCCTGCTAAAGGTAAAACCTCAAAAATTGAAGAAGTCGCCAAATGCCAAACCAAACTATCAACCCTAACAAGCTCAAGAGGCAGCAATAAAGCTTAGTTGTGTGAGGACATTTTCAAGAGACTAAGTCATAGAGATAGCAAGCAACACCCGTCTAAAATGAGCATGTATGGTAAGACTAGGACTTGCACTCGAAATAGGCGATATAGTTTCGCCCCCATTAACGATGTATATTGTAAGAAGGGTGGGCAAGACCATTTGAGACTTGAGAGACATACTAAGAACCAAGCATAGGGAACTTCATGCTGAAGACAAGAAGGAAAACATATAGAAAGTTATGGGCTCAAAAGCTATTGAGACTTCAACATGAGCTCAAAAATAAACTTTAGGTTGAGCTCGGGAACATCCAAAACACTCATAATGATGCAATACACTACCTGGAAGAGCAGGTTGATTCCCTATTCACCGACGAAGTCATGAGAGAAGAAATACCCTCAAAATTAAAGTTGCCTACAATGAAGCAATATGATGGTTGAAAAGGTCCAGTTGATCACTTAGACACATACCAGGAGTGGATGAATATATCTACGAGTACACGACGCAATTAGCTGTCGAGTATTCTCTTTCACTATAATAGATCCAGCTTGGTTATGATATCGACAACTGAAGAGGAAATCCATCTCCTCCTTAAAGGACCTCACCCGAGCCTTTTTAACTCAGTTCTTGGGAGGACAAAAGTGACTGAGGCCGGCCACACACCTTCTCACCATCAGGCAATGGTTCAGCAAAAGCCTCTATGACTAAGTAGTCCAGTTCAATAACGAGGAGTTGTAAGTATAAGGGTGCATTGCTAGAATATCTTTTACGACCTTCATAGCCGGTTTGAAGGATGAGAAGTTTTTAAGGTCATTTCGGAAAGAAAACCTCGACAACTTTCACTAAAGTTTCCTCCAAACGAGAAAGATGTCTAACTAAGGTACATACGAGTCAATATGAGGGATGAAAATCAATAGACCAAGCCCCCAAACTAGACCACAAGAACCAAAGTTTAAAGCCCACAAGATGGCGACATAGAGCCTTGGGGCCTTAGGTGGACCAACCCACGAGTTGGCGCAAGGCTCGACTGACCTGGGCTAGTTAGCTCTTGGGCTGCTAGCTAGTATCATGGCCTGACTGGTTAGCCTTTGGGGACATGGCCATGAGTTGGTAGCCCAGGCCAACCAACCTCTAAACCAACCAACCCAAGGGCTTGCACCGTGACCTGGTTGGTCAACCCAAGGCCAAGCCACCGTTTGGTCGAGATACACCTAGCTCAATGATTCTCTTATATATTGTCAAACCGATCCATCAAATTCAAGATCTTGAGATCTAAGGAATACGAAAAAAAAAAAAAAGATATCGTAATGACCTTAGATTCTTCCTCCATATAGCGAGAAAATACTCATAATCAAGGTATGCTAAAAAAGACTTAACACTCTAATTATGCTTCGAACAAACCTGATTCTTAGAAGAGTGGTGCAAATTTGATAATTGGGTAAGTCAAATTTATGCATCAATGTAAGGTATTAGTTTATGTTTATTGAGAGCTTAAAGTTTAAATTGACTAGTATTATTATTATTTTTTTTTAAGAATGTAACTAAAAACATGTTTACATAGGAAAGAAATTAGATGATACACCTGCATACCATTATATATATAATAATAATAATAATGTCCCATTATATATAAATAAATGATATAAACTTAAGAACTGACCTTGCTGTGGTCCCCAACCCATATGGTATGAAAAAGTGCAAATAAGTGATTGAGAAACTGTCAAGAAAAACCACCAAAATGAGTTTTTTTTTCATCTGATCAACCGCCAAAAAGAGTTAAAGACTTAGAATTCTCTCTTGAAAATTGAAGTTCCAACAGCTTCACACAGAATTAAAAAAGCACAAAAAAAATATACCATATCGAAAGCACAGAAGCCTCCACCTTAGGATTTGGAAGAAGCCCCGAAAGCAACGAAATGACCTCATAAGACCACCACTCAACGCTGCAAAAACCAAAAAAGGCTTAAAAAACTTCTCCAGAAAAAAAAAAAATACTATTTGTATTCTCTATACTATCAGTTTTTATTTGCATTTTCATCTTTATACTTTCAAGACGTCGATTAAAATATAGATATGTAAAAGTAAAATTAGTATAAGAACTAAAATGACAAAAACTTCAAACCCTAGGTCCAGTTCCAATCAACGAAATCAAATGGAACAAAGCCTTCTTACCAAAGCATCACCGCGGAGGGGACAGCGAGGCGAAAGAACTTGCGGATGCTCGAGATGGCCTCCCTCGAGAGCGGGGCCCGAGTCTTGGCACAAGATGGAGAGAAGAATACATAAGAGGCAAGCAAAATGACATTGAGCCAATAGGATATACCAAGAGCCAAAGCAGCTCCCGCAATTCCAAGCTTGAAATGGAACACAAGAAGCCAAGAAATGGGAATGTGCAAACAGAGAGTGGCAAAGGAGCTGAAGAGCAGAGGAAGAATGAGGCTCTGAGTGAGAAGATAGCGCATAAGAGACTGAAGAATTGCATACCCAAACAGATTTGGAATAAGAAAAACTGAGAATTTTTTGGCCACAGAAGAAATGGAAGGATCTTGGCCAATGGAAATTAGTAACTTGTCTGTGAAGAACCACAGCACAGAGATTGGGAAACAGACCAAAGTGAGAGAAATCATGCAACTGTGAGTATAAACTCCAAGCTTCTGATATTGCTGTGCTCCATATGCTTGCCCACAGAGAGTGTCCAAAGCTCCAGCCATTCCTAGCTGCAGCCGAGACAAAGAACGAACAAGATCAGATATCAAGCTCGTTTGGTGACATTATTGTTTATTATTTATTGTTTTTTTCTTTTTTAAGAGAGTCAAAACTATACATGGGGTAATTATTTTTTCTACTCCTTTCATTCTTATTATTGAAAAACAATAGAATTATATTTAAGACTGGTTTGATAAAGTTCTCGTTTTCAGTTGTTGAGAAATGTATGTGCCTGGTTATTGTTCTTGTTTCTGGTTTTTCATTTTAAGAAACGTTTTCAAGATTGGTGCAGAAATTTTAAAAACAACATATTCTTGTTACGGTTTTCAATTTTTTTTAAACATTAATAAAAATATTATTTTATCATTCTTGACTTATAAAATGGATAATAAATATTAAAAATAAATAAATGGAAATTTGAAATTGGTAGCTAAATCTTTTCCCATATTTAAAAAACAAAAAAAAGACTTTAGGATTATGCAAATATGATGTTATATGTGGTAGAGTAAATGAAGGTTTCAGCTAAGAGAGAATTTAGGAGGAAAACGGAGAGATTGGAAGAAGGGGAAAGGATTACGAGGAAGCTAAAGCCGGTGACGCGGACGAAGGAAGTGGCGATGGAGACGCCGGAGAGCAAGAGCTCATCACCGAGATGGCCGACGACGACGACGGTGACGATCTGCAGAAGGTGGTAAAGAACTAACGCAGGGATGATGGGCGCTGCCATAAGGCTCACCTTCATCAGCTCTGTGTGGTAAACTCTCCATTTTTCTCTCATTCCTCTCTATCCACTCCTTTCTCAGTTCCAGAGAACTCAAAAAATTAAGTGCAAATAAATGCAAGATGGTGGCTGATTTTTTAAATTTTGGTTGGTCTCTGTTTTGGCCCCTCTTCTGGGATTGGCCACCATTTTCTTGTTAAAGAGTCTAGTTGTAAACGTAAGAGACTTAACAAATGTATATAATATATCTGGACTATTCTTTTCATTGTCAATTAGTTTTAAGATGGAACCTCGTCGATATTGATATGGTATTAGAACCCAAAATGCTCAAATGAGTATTTGGTCAAAAAATGGGATTCGACAAATATCGACGAGTCAAAAGAACCACGATCTTAAGAGGGTCCCTTAACAAAGGTTTATAATAAACATGAGCTACTCCTCTCGTTTTCAATTAGTTTTGAGAAAATAAAAAACTTAACAAAAATTTATGATAAACATGGACTAATCCTCGATTGGTTTTGAGATGGAACCGATCAGATATTTCTCAAATTTTTTTTGGTGGGGTTTTGTAAGGTTTGTTAATGGGATGTTGTGGGGTGTAATTGTGTTTCGCACAATTGTATTTAGATTATGAAAAAAAAAATTGAAATAACTAGTCTTGCAAACACGAGTAGAGCTTAGTCGTAATTCTCTCGAAGTCGGAGGTTTGATTCTCCATATCCCTACGTTGTTGTATTAAAAAAATTTTTAGTACAACATATAGGGATGGTGAGGTTGTGAGTCTTGTGTCAATTACCATTGAGCTATGTCCATTTTGACGATTTGCACACATTATTGAGAGTGAATTACGAAAAAAGTATATATATATCTAACCTGATTTTGTTGTTCACTTCATTATTTTATTTTGTAAGTACTTACGTACATTCATCAACTAAAGGAATTTATCTTATCATTAAAGAAAGTTTTAGATAAAAACTGTAACCATTTCCTTCAAAAAAACAGAAAAAAAAAAAAGATTAATGAAGAGCATATGGCACTTTTTGATGGTGTCATGTTTCCCCTTTTACGAGGTAGAAGGAAAATAGTAGTTATGATATATTTTTTACTGCATCAAAAACTTGGAACTGGGTTCATGTAACTCAGTTTTTAACTCGAAATTTATAGTGGGTATTATCCGGTAAAACTAAGAACCCGGTAAAACTAAGAACCCTCACCCACAATGCGGAGGGTTGAAGGTATTATTTTGGCTACTCAAGATCGTGACTCTTTTGTGGATCCTATTTTTTGATCGGGTACTCGTTTGAGTTTTTGAGTTCTGATATCATATTAATATTTATGAGGTTCCATCTCTAAACCAATTGACAATAATAGAGATAGTCCATATAAACCATTGTTAGGTCTCTTATCTTATCAATGTGAGATCCTTGACCATAAACACTAAATTTCTATGGGCAAGTAACTTGAATTCAGGTGCCATTTATGTGGAGCCAGCCAATTATTCTCACAGAGTCTAAGTCCCCCACAAAGGGCATAACAACAATTTTTTAATTATAAGATATATTTATTAACTAATTCTATAATATTATTGTATATTTAAAAGATTCATAATATAACAATTTCCATACAAATCAGGAACAAAGATTAAAATTCCCACCAAGCCATGGGTGGAGAGTGGACCCCTACCTCCATACAGCTCCCTTCTCATATTTATCCAAATATAAATAAATTCAAATTACAAATTTATGAACCAAATACCTCTTTAAATTACTTGATAATCCACACGTGTTTCTAAATAAGTCTCATAATTATAGTATTAAACTTTCATCAATTCATATGTTTGTAAGTTTGGTGTCGCTATAAAGAATGAACCGACGAAATATAATCAACAAAATATTATTAATATAATATAATAATAATAATAAAATTTATGTTATTTAAAAATATTGGAATACTTATTTATTAATTTAAATATATTTTTTAATATATGAAGTTTATGATTCTTTCAGAAAAATTAACTTACATTAAAATTGAGGTCTCTCGACACTTTCACGAAATATTTAAAATTTCAGCGGTAATTTCTTAATAAAAAAAAAAGTATTTAAAGCAAATTATGTACCTTAGTTTTCAAAATAGTTTCTAGTACACCACTTTATTCTCTCTAAAAGTTGACATAGCCAATAAAAATGTATCCCATATATTCCAAACAAATTAATTTCTAGCAATTCAAAAGCACCTTTAAAATATTACTTGTTTGAATGTGTATATTTAATTAATTAAATTTTAGGCAGTATGAGATGCAGTGGGTACTTTCATGAGGTACATACTTATTTTAATATTTTTGCATCTTCCAACAAACTTTTTTTTGTTTCTTTTCCAAAAAAAATAAAATATATATATTTATATATAGTTATTTTCGAAATTGCTGCTAAAACTATTTTTTGACAGCTTTATGAAGTGGCAAATAGGAGAATCTTTTCTTAATAAATATTATATTTTGTAAAGTTTATTTTAAAATAATATGGTTCTAACTTTTATTTACATTCTATAACAGTTTCTAATAAAATTGTCTTTAATAAATTTTAAGTACCAATTATTTAAGTCAGTTTCAATTTGTTCATACAAATTTTAATTTTGTTATAATACTTTTAAAAATTTTAATTTTGTGTTTATAGTTTAATTGAACCTAAGAAACTGTCTCCAGTCTAAACAATTCATCTTTCTTTTTCTTTTTTCTTTTTTTCCCCCTCATTTTTACTCTCCAACCGGTTACTTTAAATTCCATTGTTGATGACAGATTTATCTATGGCCACCATGCCCCATTTAGCTATTGTGTAAGTTTTCTTTTTGGACAATTGCCCCTTCGTCTTCCGAAAAAATTATAAACATCAAATTAAAATTATTAAAATTATAAGGGTTAAATTGAAGTTAATCCAAATCCAAGAAATTAAAGGGGTAATTTGACATTAAAAAAATAAACTTATTAAATAAAATATAAATTATTTCTACGAAGTCTGTTTTCTTTTTTGAAGGGATAATTTTAAGAAATTCATCCCCAAATAAATTGAAATTTTCTCCCTTTCTCTCTAATCACATTTCATACCTACCATGTTTTTTTTTATTACTTTTTAATAATCTTTAAAACTATATTATTTCTCAAACATTTTTAATTTTATTTTTTTTCGAATCGATGTGGTGTGGCTTATATTGTGGATCTCTATAACCAAGGCTCGTTGCCTAGACTAAGAAATAAGAGCAACACGAAACCGAAGACCTCATCGTAGATAATGCAACAAGGCCCAAAACCCTTGTTATTAGTGTGCCATTTTTAAGGTACTTCAAATATTTTTTCTAAAAATGTAAAGATTTATTTTTTTAAATCAAAAAAAAGAGAGAGAGAAGCGAGTAATATCTTTTAAATTAATTGAAAAAAATATCTACATCCCAAGATTCCTACTAGATGATTAAACTAGGTGTGCACTAACTTAAAAAGTCGATGGTGTGATCTATTTTCAAATAGTATAAAAAAAGTTGGTTGATTCAAGTAGATGTGCACTAATTAAAATTTTTTTAGGTGGTTTCCTCCCTGTTTTATTCTTTATAATTACTGTTATACAAAGGAAAACTACAAACAAACAAATCAAGGAAACAAAGAGAATCAACGAGATGGCCGAGCCATCGAGCCAAGCCTCCGAACCGTCGAGTCGAGCTGAGCCGAGTCCGACATCTTCCGTCTTCTGTTGTCTACGAATCATTGGGCCTTCACAACAATCATCTAGGGCTCATTGAAAGGTTTGGAAACCTTCCAAGCGATTATAAATAGGCCATATAGCCTAACCCTAAGGTAAGCCGAATTCGACCATTGAATTATATTACTCTACTGCTCACCCTTGCTAACTTAGGCATCGGAGCCCGTGTGACAAGTGTCACACCGGTCTAGCCTTGTTTGGTTTTGCAGGTTTTCGAGTCCTTGATAATCAAGTTTGGTGTGAACCTCGGGAAGAGCATAATCCACGCATCAACAATTGGCGCCGTCTGTGGGAACGATACGAAAACCGAAGCAAGCTTAGCCGAAACAAGCTCAGATCAGAGAATATTAGAATGGAGCAAGCTGATATGAACCCCGGTGGGGGTCAACAGTGTTTCAGAAAGAAGAGCCCGAGCAGGACAATCGACCACTCAGGAGAGGTATGCCTGAACCCTGCTCATCCACTAGATCTGTCTGCCCTCAGAATGGGAGAACCGGCTGAGGAGGTGGAGTCTGCATAGTCCGCATGAGAACATGCCAGGAATTGATCGGGAAGTCATGGTACACCGACTCAACGTCCATAAGAGCTGTAGACCAATGAAATAGAAGCGTCGTGCCTTCACCTAAGAAAGGAATGAGATCATGGCTGAGCAGGTAAATGATCTACTAAAAGTAGGGTTCATTCGAGAGGTGCATTACCCCAGTGGATATCCAACGTCGTGCTGGTAAAGAAGCCCAATGGCAAATGGAGAATGTGTGCATCGACTTAACGGACATAAATAAGGCCTGTCCAAAAGGCTCTTATCCCTTGTCTTGAATAAGATCTAGAAGCCAACGATATGAACTCTGGAGAGATCAACAACGTTCCGACGATGATTCTTGTCCGAGGAGGATGGTAAACCGAGAGTTATTCTTGCTTGGGGTGGTTGAAGGTGATGAATTGTTAAATAAAGTTAAGCATGTTGTTTATTCTACTATGATGTTCAAATTTGAGGTAAATTAATTATTTCCTATGTTTTATACTTGAGAAAATTATTTGTTTGATGCCCAAACAAAACCTCCTCAAGTGGAGGTATGGGTAAGCTAATCCATAGCTGGTCAACGGTGTTCCGACTACTATTGTCATCTGAGAAGAGGGATGAACCGAAGACAGGTCTTACGCGATGAAATTCCAAAGGAGATAAGCTCGTGAGTTTCAAGACAGGGAGAGCAACATGCCAAGAACCCTAATCAGATCAACAAGGATCGACGACAAGGTCTTGATGGTGAAGTGAGAACATGTCACGCTAGTGGTTCAATGTTTCCAGTGGATGACCACTTAACCA